TGAATTGGTCAAGTCAAAGTCTGGATTCAAACTCCATTGAAATATTATGACAGTTTAGAAGCAAGCTGTTCTTCCAATGAATTATAGATAGCCAAGGAGAGCTTATAGAGAGCCTATCTTGGCAAGCAACATGCACATGGGAAGTTACGTCAGGACAGGACAGGATGTTAGTCTATCATAGGACACACACAGACACAAACATGCGCACACTTATACCTAGGCCCAATTTTCCGAGAAAACAACCAACCAGTATATTTTTGGACTGTGGAAAGACTGTGTTTAAGAGAAGTTCTTGAACTTATGAAAACTAAATTCATTAAAATTAATGTTTCATTAAAATTGATCAATTCAGATGCTGTAAAAACCCAATATTAAAAGCTGAACATTAATGACAAGAATATGTGAGTTGAGAAATTATTGAAAATGACTGATGTCTAATTATTAAGGGGGAGACAAAAGGGAAGTTTGAGCAACATATTCAAGAGACAGCACAAGGTACATACAGTACAATGAAACACAAACTAATTACACAACTAATTTTGTAATAAGCTCATTTGGTGTGAGCCTGTAAATTTGTATTTTGAAGCTTGAGCGATATGCTGGATCACTGGACTGATCTCCTTGTGTTAGCAGATGTGTTCTTCTGTTGTGTGCTGTAATGCTGGGGACCACACATGTGCTAGCTGCAGGGATAAAAAAGACCATGGAAGTTTTTTTAGAAGTATCTGCTAAATGTCTGATTTCAACAAAGTACTGGTGGTACAAGGTACAACATTACTAGCAATGTTGACTTTAGTAAAGTGTTGTACATACATTCGGCCCAAATGCAGAATAAATAAAGAAAAGAAAGTGTCCTATAAGTATGTAAAAACAGTTTTATGAAATGTGTTTTTTAAGGACATAGGGCCATTTTGTAATAAATATTTAACACCTGATAAATCTGAAATGTTAAACCTCAGCTCATTTGGGGATAGAGGGAGCTCATGTATCCTGGAGTAAGCAAACTCTGCCAGAGTACTGTTGTGTACTTTGCTTTTGGATTTCAGTTGTGCAAGATACAGTGCATAATTGCAGATTGGGATGAGCATACAGTTTTAGTTAGACACACTTTTTGTTTTGAAATGATGGTGCTTAGCTACAGGTGAGACAGATTTAAGGCCCCAGAGTAGTGCTTTAGTGTGCTCTGGTAGCACTGTACCCCTGATTCCCTTTACGCAAAATGCACTTCAAATCTTGTTATTTCTGTTGTTAATCTCTTCATGCCACAATAATTTGAGTTACCTTCTGCAAAATAATTGTAGGATTTATATAAAACAAATTCCTTTGTTGTTTTTGCTTTTTTAAACAGCAATGATGGATTTTATGTGAATTAAAACTGAATCATCTGGTTTTATTCAATTTCAAAAAGTATTACTCAAGGGCCCATGTCACACTTTTAGATACTGTGGCCTCATAACTATATACTGTGCACAATGATACTGTGCCACTTGTGGATATAGAAAAATAGCTTTATTCTAGTGATGTAACTGTAGTAAGGACACATACTGTAGGTCAGGAGGGGCTCATTTCTACCTGCCTGTCTAATTACACATACAGTAACCACTAAGTACTTTAAATATTTTTTATGTTTAATATTGAAGGTTATTAAAAATTAAGAATTGCGTGCATGGTGTTATGATATGTTGTATTTGGTATGATATCTTGTATTTTTTCATAAGATTTTGATAAAGTTCCCTGCAAGAATTATTTCTCAAATTACAGGTGGAAGGCATTCAGGGGCATTTATGTGTTTGGACTTTGGAGAATTTGTTAATAAATAGAAAACTACAGATAAGAGGTGAATGCTCTTGTTTTTGATATCCTGGTATTCTTAAAGAAGCAGCTTGATTGGATTCTCAACTCAATTAGCTGCTAACTGCTTAACAGGTTACATGGCCTGCTCCTGTTTTTAACCTTTATTATCATTTTTACTTTATGATAGTTATTTGCAACCAGTGTGTCTCACAAGCCTCAACTTGTGTGGTTTCCTTTGACACATATTAATGATTTAAAAAAAAAGCAAGCAATGTACCCCACCCCTTTCCCCACTCACTAGGTGGAATGTGCCAGAGAGATGAAGCAAGTATGAGTATAAAGGCACACTGAAACCAAACATAGTCGCCGGCGTCTGCAGCACACTAAAACATAAATTAATCAGGTTACTTTTAACTTACAAGTGATACCCAATATCTTCTAAAAGGAACAGCAATACCAGAACAAACAAAAAGTATTTTTTCACTGTATTAAATTCCCTTTTTAGGAATTTAAACCAATTTAAACCAATAATAACAATCCCACAAAACCAAAATGCAAGATATACACAATTAGATTTTGTACCCACTGAAAAACAGTTTACCTACCTGCTAAACCACTGGGTCAATGTAAACCGACAGAGTAAATGTGTTTGGCTGTCCACGATGATGAAGTCTGAAAAGGGGGGTCTAATTGGTTCAAATTGCTGTCATTCATTATTTTTCAACCATTCAGAGTCCTAGGAGTTGTCACTGCCTCTATAACATGACTGGGGAAATAAAAAAAAACCTCAGCCTCACAACTTTGTAGTATCTACAGTGCCTTGCGAAAGTATTCGGCCCCCTTGAACTTTTCAACCTTTTGCCACATTTCAGGCTTCAAACATAAAGATATAAATTTTTTATTTTATGTG